GGCTAGTAGAAAAGGGTGGGGGGCGAGGAGCAGCGCATCCTGCCTGCCCTTCATCCCGGGTCGGGGGTACAGAGCCTTGACCCGGGGGAGCGGGGAGAGCGAGGTGCTGAGCGAGTCTCGGAGGGGGCTGCGGGGATCATGCCGGGGGGTCTGCGCCTCGGCATCGCTTTCTCCTCGCCCTCCATGGAGCCCGGACTTTTTCTACAATGACTTTCCCTGAGCTGAGCAATGGCAGCTTGAGTGGGAACCAGACGGGACAGGGCAGCCAGAGCAGTGCCAACCGGTCCTGGGGGCTGCAAGGTGAGGAGACCCCCGAGGGCAACGGCACCACGCTGACTTTCGCCTTGGACGTGCAGGCGGTGGGCGTCGGGGTCTTCCTGGCTGTCTTCATCCTCTCGGCCATCGTGGGGAACATCCTCGTCATCCTCTCGGTGGCTTGCAACCGTCACCTGCAGACGGTCACCAACTACTTCATCGTCAACCTGGCCATCGCCGACCTGCTGCTCAGCACCACTGTGCTGCCCTTCTCGGCCACCTTGGAGGTGCTGGGCTTCTGGGTGTTTGGGCGCATCTTCTGCAACATCTGGGCAGCGGTGGACGTGCTGTGCTGTTCCGCCTCCATAATGAGCCTGTGCATCATCTCTGTGGACAGGTACATTGGCGTCAAATACTCCCTCAAGTACCCCACAATCATGACCGAGAGGAAGGCCGGGGTCATCCTCGTGGTTGTCTGGCTCTCCTCCATGGTCATCTCCATTGGGCCACTACTGGGATGGAAGGAGCCGCCACCGCCGGATGAGAGCATCTGTAGCATCACGGAGGAGCCGGGCTATGCACTGTTTTCCTCCCTCTTCTCCTTCTACCTGCCCCTCATGGTCATCCTGGTGATGTACTTCAGGATCTACGTGGTGGCCAGGCGGACCACCCGGAGCTTGGAGGCAGGGGTCAAGAAGGAGAGGAATAAATCCATGGAGGTGGTACTGCGTATCCACTGCCGCAGCGTGTTGGAGGAGCCTCTCTCCAGCACCCGGAGCAAGGGGCACAATTTCAGGAGCTCCCTCTCCGTGCGGCTCCTCAAGTTCTCCCGTGAGAAAAAAGCAGCCAAGACTCTCGCCATTGTTGTGGGTGTTTTCATCCTCTGCTGGTTCCCGTTCTTCTTTGTCCTGCCTTTTGGTAAGTGACCCCGTCCCCTATCCGAGCCCCGCTGCCCGTGGCTGAGCCTGCGGGAACCTGCTGCTTGGGACAAACTTTAAGGACACAACTCATGCATGGAGGTGGGGGATAGGTAACTGATAGGTGAATAAACCAGCAATGAATTAATTCAATTAATTAACACTTATTCAATATTTATTAATCAGAGTCATATAATCAATCAAAGTAAATAGCAAATGAATAAAATAGCAGCATAATAATTGGTTTAATTAATTCATTCTGCATTCAGCAGTTTAATTAATGAATTTCAGGCTAAGGAAGAAGCAGCTCTGTTTCAAACAGGCTGTGATTATGGTACTGTGGTCTCTAAACAACTTTGCCATCCCTGCCCCCAGCCTCCCTTCCTCCCAGTTTGGGGGAGGGCACCTGGATTTGCTTCTGTGGGCCTGGGGCTCCCACCTCTGTTGCGAACTGGTAAAGATGTTGGAAATGAGTGAGGTTTGATCCCCCCAGGGAGCATGTCAGAGTCTGAAATAAGTCTTGCTGACTTCCGAGGTGATTTCCCAGGACTGATCCACCTCCTGCAGGAGTCGTGCCCACAGCTCCTGGCCCTGCCATGGTGCCTGTGTCACTGGGTGCTCATTTGGGGTTGTCTGACAGGTTGTTCTCTAAAGTTTTGGCAAGTTATTTGCCCTACTAAAAAAGATGCAGTCCTCTGCGTGCAGAGGAGGCTGAGCAGGCACAGAGCCCGCCAGGAAAG